TGTGTGTGACATGAGTTGGTAGAGAGAGAGATAGAGAGAGAGAGAGAGAGAGAGGTTGAATTTGACATTTCTCTCTCTTCATTGACGAATTCGCACTTCCATAATTCGCAAAGCCCACCATTGATTTTTGATGATGTGCAGAGGCTGGTGATACAAACAAAAAGCGTGGAATTCATGCCTTTCTCACTTTCCTTCTCCCTCACTTTGAGCGCCGTCATGTGGTTCTCTTATGGCCTACTAACCAAGGACTTCTACATTGCAGTAAGTTTCCTCTTCAAATCAATCATTTCAACATGTGTGAAACAACATAGAAGTGCGTAATAAAACTATTTATTTTTGTTACAAGAATCCTCAAATTTTAAATCAGGCAGTTGGGGTATATGCTAGTGACTACATTGAGAGTCAAGTTAAAAATACTTTTATTCAAACTTTGTAAATGAAAATTGACGTACCCCTAGCTGCCTGGACTTACACATACTTAAAGGCGATTGTGATTTTTTTATACAAAAAAAATAATGGTATTTATAAAAGTTAGTTTAAGTGGAAAGCTAAAAAAAGACAAGAGGCAAGTAAAAAATAACATAGTTAGAAGTAGTGGGAAAGATATGAGAACTTAGAATGGCTCTTACTAGAGCATAATGGCAGACGCCGACTCTAATTAATCGAAAAAATTCTATAATGATGATGATGATATAAGTTGGCAACCTTATTTCTTTTAGTAAGATTGTAATGCTCTACACTGGTCATTTTAATTGGACAGTAAAAATTTGACATATCTTTTAAGACATTATCAAGAAGTATCAAGTCTTTTAAGATAGGAAAATTATTTGATAGGGCTGCAACCCTATCAAAATAAGTGAAGCATCACCACCTAACTCATCAAAAATTACAACTCAAGCAGTGTAAAACCTTTATATCGATCATCTTGGCTTGAACATTGTGGTTGTAAAAAAAATAGGACTTGAAGCTCTAAAAATAGTGTATATTATAGCAAATTATCTAGACTGTCCATTTCACCCTAAAAATAAGTGTTCAAAGATCCGCAAGATCTATACATTTTTATTTTAGTTTCAAATTTTATTGTTGGTGTTGGAAATTGATTTTAGAGCCACTATGGAGATTTTTTCCGTTACCGAAAGTGCTTTCTATAAGAGGATTTGAGGTGAGTTTTTTGTTTCTTTTTTTTTTTTCGCCAGCCGAGGTCTTATAGAAACTTCATCCTTTAAGATAATATCAAATTTTTACTGTCCAAATAAAATGTAAGGTATAGATTAGTGTAATGTTAATTCTGCAAGTAAAGTTGCAACCTTATATAATCTCTTCTTAAGGATAAATGATTATGTAGTATACAATTATATATATAGCTTCATCAAATATAAAATTTCAAAGTAAACATTTCTATTAATAAAAGGGTGCGGTTTGTATAGAGCCTAGGCTCTAAACAATCAATTTAGAGCATATCTTCAAATAGTGTCGAGAAATGTGGTTTCAATACTGAAAATATTTGTGATAGTCTTAAATATATTTTCACCTTTACTTATAGAGCTTAAAGCTTCAAAAATAGTGTAGATCGATAGATCTTGTGAAAACTTGAAAATCTTGAAAATTGATGATCCAAAAATACATTACAAAATGCACTATTTCTAAACTTGAAATCCATTTTTTTCTCATGTCCATGCATCTTGATGTCGAGATGATCAATTTGAAGATATTTGGAGGTCAAAACAGCCTCTTCTAGTGAAAATTTTGACGTAGACATCAAGATGATCAATTTGAGGATATTTGGGCTTCAAAACAGCCTCTTCTAGTGAAATTTTTGAGGTAGGCTCAAATTTGATTGCTTAGAGCTTCGGCTCTATAAAAAATTTTCCCTTAATAAAATTAAATCATGTTTCTAATAAAATCATTTAATTATTAAATTTTGACACAGATCTCTAGAAAAGCTATCACATGACTGTGGGACTTGGGTGAATGGGTTCATTGATAACTTTTCTAGATATCTATGTCAAAATTTAATGGTAATCATTTAGGGTCCTACTCACATAAGTGTGGGAGATCTTATAGTATCATTACTCTTATTAAATTTTGAGTAATGATATATGAGACCTTCCCACAAGAGCCCAAAGGATCACTGTTAAATTTGGCACAGATCTCTAGAAAAGTTACCACATGGGTATGAGACTTGATTTTTTTTTTAGAGATCTGTGTCAAATTTAAATGTGATCCTTTGAAATCCTACACATATGGGTGTATGAAGGTCTCATAGGATCATTACCCTTAAATTTTATGCACTTATTGAAAAAACTATTTCACGAAAATTTTAGCGATGTATACAATACAATAAACAAGCCAAGCATCCGCCATCCAGTCTAAAAATGACTGTGAGATGGATCTTAATTTTCATACTTATCCATCAATGCTACACCATGGATCACCTCCATTGTCCATCTTGAGAATGGACGGTAGATGACTCCCTGTGTATTGTGTTGTGTACATCATGTGTGCCATTTATTTTTCTTTTTCATTTTTATGCAACATGTGATTCTTTTCTTCTCTCTTTTTTCTCCTTCTTTTTCCTTTTCTTTTCTTCTTATTCTTCTTCTTCTTCTTCTTCTTCTTCTTCTTTTCTTTTTTTTTTTTTTTTTTGGTCCTGGATGAAGTTCGTATTTTGTGTTTCTAACCCATCGTTTTCTTGCCCATCCTTTCAGTTGCCAAATGTGCTTGGCTTCATATTTGGAATAATACAAATGGTGCTCTATATCATATACAAGGGTACCAAGAAGGCTTTTATTGATAAAAAATTACCTGAACAAGTGGTGAATATTGTCAAGATAAGCACTTTGGGGAGCTCAGACGTTTTTCCGATAAATGGGCAGGCAGTTTCCGGCGAGTGTGTCACGGATTCCGTCGAAAAGTCACTTGAACAAGTGGTGATCGTGGCTCACACAGTCACTGAAAATGTGCAAGATCTTTGAAATTAAAGTTTTCATCTTACTAGGAGACGAGGAAACCTCTCCGACTTATGGCCTTCTATCTGAGTTTGAGTTCACTCATTGGAGAGAGAGAGCATTTGCATATATGTGGGCTTCTTTTTTTTCTTTTTTCTTTAGGCTATTTCTCTCTCTACATGTACTGAATGTGTGGTTAGTAAGAGGGCACCATCCCCGAATGCAGGCCCACCTTATCAATTTTTGGTGTTAATAAAGAAGTAAATAAATAAGGCCCCGTGAATATTCCAAGAGATTTTATTTTTCTTTGTGGTGTCCTCTTCATTGTTTTTTTATGTATTATGTGGAATCTTTTTCCGATATGTTTATATTTTGGAAATAGGGTTTATAAATTATTCATTTTTTAAGCCATTACTCAACGGTTGCGGTTTGTAAAGAGCTGAGGCTCTAAACAATCAAAGTAAAGCCCACCTTCAAATAGTGTCGAAAAATATGATTTCAATACTAGAAATCTTTACAATAGCCTTAAAATATACTTTCATCTCTAATTATAAAATTTAAAACTTCAAAAGTAGTGTATATCGAGCAAAGCTATGAAAATCTTGAAATTTGACAGTGCAAAATGCATTACAACATGCATTGTTTCCAAAACATGAAATCCATTTTATTCTCATGTCCATGCATCTTGATGTTGAAATGATCAATTTGATGATACTTGAGCATCTAAACAACCTCTTCTAGTGAAATTTTTGAGCTGCACCCTAATTTTATTGTTTAGAGCATCGCATTTATATAAACTTTTCCCTTACCCTATCTAGCTTTGTTTTCCGCTTCTCTAGCCATTGTAGGATTACAACTCAATACGTCCTCACCAACTATGTCCTAAGTCCACTCCTAAACGATTCCAAATTGATAATAGTAATAACAATAATTTATGTCTTAATGTTCTAATGCTACGTCTAAATGTCCCTTCAATTGTCTCTTTTTTGTAATCTCTCTCTCTTTTGTTGGCATTTGACATGTGCATGACATGTGCATTTTGTTTTTGGGTAAATCAATGGAGATTGCGGGCCCTATTAGTTTTATTAATCTTGACCACTGTATGTAAAAATGGGTGGCTGCATTTATTTTATTGACCAAACTAAAAGTTTAAAAGAATTTTTTTCGAACTTTGTGATATACTCAAGCTATCAGATTTCACATCGGGTGGTTATAAATAATTGTGACTTCTTTGTACCAAAAGTAAATGATCTTATACACAATCCCCAATAAATATTATATAACCAGTTCTTAATTGGCAAAAAAAAACTAACAACATCAATTATAATAAAGGCATTACAAAATCAAGGGGAAAATGCATTGCATCATTGTTTCATTCATAGAAGCTGCTTTGGCCAAAGAATACGCAGCCATATTATCCTTACCTATAAGCGTGTTGGACCATCCATTGCTTATCAATAAAAGATGCAAGCTTAGATATATATTAACCAAAACTAAGTACAATCTCCAAAGAGGCCTGCAATGACGACTCATCGAATCAAGAAACTTGCAGTCAGTTTCAATAACATGTGCATATTCAACATGTAACAAATGGGTTCAAAGTTCAAACCAAATGCACAACTAGGATTTTGAAAAACGGGGTTATTTGTATTTGTCAAAAAGGAGGGGGCGTTTTGTTGTTAGAACCTTAGTAAATTGGGGAATAACAACGTATTGATAAATCGAAATATCAATAGAAAATCGCTTTTGGTTAAAAAAACATGGAGGTAAAAATTTGGGGCAAAAATGTGGATTGCCAAAAATTAGGTAAGTTAAATAATCGTGAATATTTCAGAGTTCGCTAAAAAAAAAGGAAAATTAGAAAAAATACCCTAAAATGGGCTATCTATGCAACTTACCCCCACACCAATCTTTTCTCACTTTTTTCCCCAAAACAACTTTTCCTCGTAAAAACCCGCCCAAGGTAAAAAGTTGTTATTGTTTTTGACAGAAATGTCATTTCTGTACAAACCAAATCAATTTGCAGGTCCCAAGTAGCGTAGTGCCGGAGTACAGTATACTATTGTCGAAACGGAATGTCAAGAACACAATGCCAGAGCGAGTCTTTACACTGCTGGAGCATGGCAGCTCCAAAGGCCGTACTGCCGGAGGACATCATTTTACTGCCGGAGTGCATTGAGTTCATTGTCGGAGCGTGATATTCCATTGTTGGAGCGTTGTGGCTCCAGAACCTGCATTGCCAAAGCGGACTACTGGAGTGCATGCTTGTACTGTCAGATCGCGTTCTCATAATGCTGGAGCACTGTGGCTTAGAGCCTGCATTGCCAGACGGGAATGTTAAGATTGCCGGAGCGCTTGTTTATATTACCGGAGTGAGGTCCTCAACTGCCAGAGCGCATGTGAAACTGGTGTGGGTAAATAAAAAGTGGAAAATGTGAAACTGGTGTGGGTAAATAAAAAGTGGGAAATGTGAAACTGGTGTGGGTAAATAAAAAGTGAGAAATAGGAGAGAGAAGGCCGTGTGAAAACAAACAAGGGTAGTTTACTCTGTTTGGGGAAAAAAAGTGAGAGAAAAAATTGAGGTGGGGTAAGTTGTCTATTTTAAGGTATTTTTTGTAATTTTTCATAAAAAAAAAGAATGAAAAAATCAGCTAGAATTATCATTTACAGTTATTGCAATGATACAATAAAGTCAATGAAAAATAATTCTATGTCCTTAATTGATATTGTTAAGAGTCCTACTTGGCAATTTTTTTGTTTAAATTGTTTTAACATATCAGCAATATTTCCTCTGGTGTCCTGATGTAAAATATACAATAATTTTTTATATTCAGAAAAAAAAAAAAAGGTGAAATTCATCAAACTTCTATATTGAGAGAATGTAACAAATGACTTGCACTGAATTATATGGGTAAGAAAACTCAAAGCCGAACCTCACCCTTAATTTCTAGCTGTCGAATTCTTTAGTTTTTAAGTTAACTTAACATCTCTCTCTCTCTTCAATTGTACTCTTAATTTACAGAAAAAGAAGATTTTTCTGGGTTATTAAGATTTTTCTGGGTTATTCTTTCTTTAACTCTATCAATAATTTGAGATATACACTTGATTTCGGAGAACTTTTTTTTTTTGGGAATATGTTGGTAGTGTGTTATTGTTGGTACACTTTTCTACCGGAAATATATTGATGAAAAATTTTTATGGAATTTTTGCCGTATCAAGATTATTAATTTAGTCCAACTATTAATGAGCTTGTCTCCAAAAAAAAAAAAAAATCAATCAATGATATCAAATTAAAAAAGTGATGAGATCTAAACTTACAGGGAAGAAGTCTGTCACCCCCCAAGAATTTACAGTACTGTTATTCCTGAGATGTGACAAACAAAACATATATACATCTAATGATAGGAC